GGGCGTGGTCTGGAGAACGGGGGGTGGGGGGATCGGGGTGGGCGTGGCCGGGGTGGGGTGGGCGTGGCCGGGGAGGGGTGGGCGTGGCCCCCAATCCTGTTTTCCCCCGATTTTTCCCCGAGAATTCCCCATTTTTCCCCACAAATGTCCCCAAATCCCATTTTTCCCCCTAAATCCCCCAATTTCCCGCCCAAATTTCCTCATTTCTCCCTAAATTCCCCCATTTTCCCCCTCATTTTTCCTCAATTTTCCTCATTTTTCCTCAATTTTCCTCATTTTTCCTCAATTTTCCTCATTTTTCCTCAATTTTCCTCATTTTTCCCCTGTTTTTTTCCCCAAATGTTGCTGTTTTTTCACATTTCCCCCCAATTTTCCCAAAATCCCGGTTTTTCTCCCCAAACCAGGCTCGTACCTGACGCACGAGGCCATTTCCCATGATTTCTCCCCATTTTTCCTTTTTTATTCCCATTTTTCTCCATTTTTTCCCCGTTTTTTCCCCAATTTTTGCTGTTTTTCCCCCAATTTTTGCCGTTTTTTCGCAGTTTTTTCCCATTTTTTCCCAATTTTCCCAATTTCCCATGTTTTCCCCGTAAACCAGGCTCGTACCTGACGCACGAGGCCATTTCTCCCCCATTTCCCTCTCACTTTCCTCATTTTCCCCCCGTTTTTCCCCAATTTTTGCCGTTTTTTCCCCGTTTTTTCCCCATTTTTCCCCATTTTTCCCAAAATCCCGGTTTTTCTCCCCAAATCTCAGGCTCGTACCTGACGCACGAGGCCATTTCCCCCCATTTCCCTCTCACTTTCCCCATTTTTCCCCCTTTTTTTCCCCATTTTTCCCCATTTCTCCCCCATTTCCCCCCAATTTTTGCCGTTTTTTCCCATTTTTTCACAATTTTCCCAAAATCTCCATTTTTCTCCCCAAACCAGGCTCGTACCTGACGCATGAGGCCATTTCTCCCCCATTTTCCCTGCTTTATCCCCATTTTTCCCCATTTTTTCCCCAATTTTTGCCGTTTTTTCACCAATTTTCCCCGTTTTTTCCCATTTTTTCCCAATTTTCCCAAAATCCCGTGTTTTCTCCCCAAACCAGGCTCGTGCCTGACGCATGAGGCCATTTCTCCCCCATTTCCCATCACTTCCCCCCATTTCCCTCTCCCTTTCCCCATTTTCCCCCCGTTTTTCCCCCAATTTTTGCCGTTTTTTCCCCGTTTTTTCCCCATTTTTCCCCGTTTTTCCCAAAATCCCGTGTTTTCTCCCCAAACCAGGCTCGTACCTGACGCACTGGAGGAGGGGCTGGCGGAGGCGCGGGGTGGGCGGGGCCAGGCCAGGCCACGCCCCCCGGGGGCGTGGCTGTAAATAACCTTTTAACACCTTTGATACCAGAGAATAAAAACACCCGGTTCGTACTGGGACGGACTGGGACGGACTGGGGGGCTGGGAGGGGGGTGGGGCACTGGTTTGGACTGGTTTGGACTGGGAGGGGATTGGGAGCAAACTGGGAGGGCTTGGGATGGGACTGGGAGGGGATTTGGGGTTACTGGTTTATACTGGGAGGGACTGGGATCAAACTGGGATCAAACTGGGAGGGGATTGGGGGGGGTTTGGGGTTACTGGTTTATACTGGGAGAGGATTGGGAGTAACTGGGATGGGATTTGGGGTTACTGGGAGGGGCTGGAACCAAACTGGGACGGACTGGGATAAACTGGGGGGGACTGGGATGAACTGGGACCAAACTGGGAGGGGGTTGGGTGCTAATGGTTTATACTGGGAGGGGATTGGGATCAAACTGGGAGCGCTGGGAGGGACTGGGAAAGGGTTTGGGGTTACTGGTTTGGACTGGGATGGACTGGGAGGGAGCTGGAATCAAACTGGGATAAACTGGGAGCACTGGAAGAACTGGGAAAGGGTTTGGGGTTACTGGTTTATACTGGGAGAGGATTGGGATCAAACTGGGGGGGACTGGGATGAACTGGGAGGGACTGGGAGGGGATTTGGGGTTACTGGGAGGGACTGGGAGGGCACTGGGTGTCCCCAGGCCTTACTGGGAGCACTGGTTTTACTGGTTTCGCTGTTCCTCGCTGGTTTTTAATGGTTTTTACTGGTTCATACTGGTTTAAACTGGTTTGTACTGGTTTGTACTGGGAGGAGTTTGCGCTCTCCCACCCTGCGCCGCCAGGGGGCGCCAACCCCGCCCCCCAAGCCCCGCCCCCTTTTCCAATTGGCCGCAGCTGACGTCATCCTCTCCAAGCCACGCCCCATGCAGCCGGCGCGGGGGGCGTGGCCAACGCGGGCTGACCGGAAGCGGAAATCGCTTGGGGAGGGGGGAGGGGAGAACCGGGGGGTCCCCGAAGTGTCCCCGGGGTGTCCCCAAGGTCCCGGTGCCACCTCTGGGTGTCCCCAAAGTGTCCCCAGGGTGTCCCCGAGGTGTCCCAAAGCCCCAGTGCCACCCCTGTCATGTCCCGCAGATGTCCCCAAGGTGTCCCCAGTGACCCCTGGAGTGTCCCCAGTGTCCCGGTGCCACCTCTGGGTGTCCCCAAGGTGTCCCAGTGTCCCCCCAGGGTCCTGGAGCCACCTCTAGAATGCCCCCAGGGTGTCCCCGTGTCCCTGTGCCACCCCCAGGTGTCCCCAAGGTGTCTCTGGTGTCCCCTTAGTGTCTCCATGACCCCCCTGGAGTGTCCCCAAGGTCCCGGTGCCACCCCCAAAGTGTCCCCAGTGACCCCTGGAGTGTCCCCAAGGTGTCCCAATGTCCCCGAAGTGTCCCAGTGCCACCCCTGGGGTGTCCCCAAAGTGTCCCCAGGGTGTCCCAATGAGTCCAGCGTCCCAGTGCCACCCTTGAGTGTCCCCAGGACCACTCTGCGATGTCCCCAAGGTGTCTCTGGTGGCCCCTTAGTGTCTCCATGGCCCCCCTGGAGTGTCCCCAAGGTGTCTCTGGTGGCCCCTTAGTGTCTCCATGGCCCCCCTGGAGTGTCCCCAAGGTGTCTCTGGTGGCCCCTTAGTGTCTCCATGGCCCCCCTGGAGTGTCCCCAAGGTGTCTCTGGTGGCCCCTTAGTGTCTCCATGGCCCCCCTGGAGTGTCCCCAAGGTGTCTCTGGTGGCCCCTTAGTGTCTCCATGGCCCCCCTGGAGTGTCCCCAAGGTGTCTCTGGTGGCCCCTTAGTGTCTCCATGGCCCCCCTGGAGTGTCCCCAAGGTCCCGGTGCCACCCCTGGATGTCCCCAAGGTGTCTCTGATGTCCCAGTGCCACCCTTGAGTGTCCCCAGGACCACTCTGCGATGTCCCCAAGGTGTCCCAGTGTCCCCAAGCACCCCTGGGGTGTCCCCAGGGTGTCCCTGTGCCACCCTCAGGGTGTCCCGGGGTCCCCTCATTGTCCTGGTGCCACCCCTGGGTGTCCCCAGGGTGTCCCTGTGACCCCTGAGATGTCCCCAAGGTCCCGGTGCCACCCTCAGGATGTCCCGAAGATGTCCCCAAGGTGTCCCCCGTGTCCCTGTGCCACCCCCAAGGTGTCCCCAAGGTCCCAGTGACTCCTGGAGTGTCCGAGTGCCACCCCTCAGGTGTCCCCAAGTGTCCCTGGGTGTCCCCCTGATGTGTCAGTGCCACCTCTGGAGTGTCCCCAAGGTGTCCCAGTGTCCCCAAGCACCCCTGGGGTGTCCCCAAGGTGTCCCTGTGACCCCTGAGATGTCCCCAAGTTCCCGGTGCCACCCCTGGATGTCCCCGAGGTGTCCCCAAGGTGTCCCAGTGACTCCTGGAGTGTCCCCAAAGTGTCCCCAGGGTGTCCCCATGTCTCTGTGCCACCCCCAGAATGTCCCGGTGCCACCCCCGAGATGTCCCCAAGGTGTCACCAGGTGTCCCCAGTGACCCCTGGAGTGTCCCCAGTGTCCCAGTGCCACCCTCAGGTGTCCCCAAGGTGTCCCAGTGACTCCTGGAGTGTCCCCAAAGTGTCCCCAGGGTGTCCCCAGTGTCCTGGTGCCACCCTTGGATGTCCCCAGCTGTCCCCAAGGTGTCTCCATGACCCGGTGCCACCCTCAGAGTGTCCCCAAGGTGTCCCTGGGTGTCCTCAAATGTCCCCTCAGTGTCCCCAGGACCGTCCTGTGACGTCCCCAGAGTGTCCCTGTGACCCCTGGAGTGTCCCCAAGTGTCCCCAAGGTCCTGGTCCCACCCCCAAAGTGTCTCTGGGTGTCCCCAAATGTGCCCAGAGTGTCCCAGTGTTCCCCAAGTGTCTCCATGACCCCCCTGGAGTGTCCCCAGGTGTCCCCAAGGTCCCGGTGCCACCCTCAAAAATGTCCCCAAAGTGTCCCCAGGTGTCCCCAAGGTCCCGGTGCCACCCCTGGATGTCCCCAAAGTGTCCCCAGGGTGTCTCCATGACCCGGTGCCACCCTCAGAGTGTCCCCAAGGTGTCCCTGGGTGTCCCCAAAGTGTCCCAAATGTCCCCAGAGTGTCCCTGTGCCACCTCTGGGTGTCCCCAGTGTCCCCTCAGCGTCCCCAGGACCGTCCTGTGACGTCCCCAGAGTGTCCCTGTGACCCCTGGAGTGTCCCCAAGTGTCCCCAGGGTGTCCCCAAGTCCCGGTGCCACCCCCAAAAACATCCCCAGAGTGTCCCCAAGGTGTCTCTGGTGTCCCCAGAGTGTCCCAGTGTCCCCCCAGTGTCCCAGTGCCACCCTCGGGGTGTCCCCAAAGTGTCCCCAAGGTGTCCCCAAAGTGTCCCCAAGTCCCAGCGCCACCCCCAAAAATGTCCCCAAAATGTCCCCCAAATGTCCCCAGGGGTCCCCAAAAATGTCCCCAATTGTCCCCAGGGGTGCCCAGCCCCTCCCCCTCCCC